CTAATACTAAGAACTCCCCCCTCCTTGCCCCGTTGACGTAGTCAACTTGCCGAACCACGTAAATAGTTTGTTCTTGTTGTGATTGTGATTTGCTTAGTGGTTGTGATTTATCTCAAGTTATTGTTCGTGTTGCCTCGAAGCTTCCGCCGCACACAACAATTATTTGGTATCAGCCATGGTATCCTGAGTCAATGTTCCATATGCTTCTTTTTGAAGAAGCATGCCAAGCATGAAAATGTTGCAAAAACAAAGGAGGCGCAATTTCATCTCTATGATCTTGTGATTTGATAACCGGCCATTTTATTTGTGTCTTTCCTCTCTGTGAAGATCATCTACTCAGGGTTTTATAGTCGGCCTGCCTGTCGTTTCTCGGGCAGTCCTTCAGTACGTCATCTTTCTGCCTTCTTACACTTGCAGTTTTTTCAGCCACCTAGCTTAAGAACTAGAGACAATGTCGGAGAAGAAAACGATCACCATCAATCCTCAACCAACTCATCCAAACACGGATACATATTGACTGTGTGATCACTAGTACATCAACAAATACCCCAAGAATTTCAATCTTACAAACAACACACTAAAAATATAATAATTACAACCAGATCCCTATAAATTTTATAATTTACAAAAAAACACCTAGAAGTTTTAAAAATTGAGAAGACTACCCTCATACTTCAAAATTTAAAAGAATGCCTTGAAAGTTTAGAAAATTACAAAATACACCCTAAAAGTTTATAAAATTGCAAATAATAACCAAAAATCAAAATTTGTAAAAAATACTTGATTATAAGTTTTGATCTTTTTATGTTGTTTCTATAAATTTTAAACCTTTGAGGGTGTTTTCCATAATTTTTGAAACTTTGTGGTGTTTTCAACAAATTAAAAAAAATTCAGGGGGGTGCTTGTAATCCTATATTTTCAATTTATTGGCTGTAAATTTTTACGATGTTTTTATAATTTTTGAATTTTTGAGGGTATTTTTTGTATTTTTTTGAAACTTTAAAGGTGTTTGTTTGCAATTTTGAATTGTGCATGAGGCTTTTTATAATTATTAGTTTTTTGTGGAAGTTGTTTATAAGTTCAATATTTTGATGGGGTTTTTTGTAATTTATGCATTTTGAGTAGTAAAGATCATTTTGTGTTAAAATTTAACCCTTAATGACATGTTATGCCAAACACAAGAATGTTCCCCCTCCAAACTATTCTAGGGTAATAATTACCATGTTAAAGCCTCGATCAAATTAACCTCACTCCTAACGAGCCCATATTTAACATACTAATAGCCAACAAACCTTTTTATAAAGGGTAAATAGGTAGATAACCTCTCGTCTAAACATTTGCTTGTATTTAGCAGCCCCAATTTCACTTGTAGTTAACGCCTCTAGGTTTATTTTTTGAGAGGGGTGAAATTGCAAACAAGCCGTATCTTCTAATGAATCTAGGGACATCAAAGTGCCACCAAAATCTATTTCTATTATTTTAAAAAAATTCAAACTTTTGGTTCTATCCCTATGCGCGCGTGCCAAGGTTTTAAAAAAATTAATCTATGTTCTTAATAATTTATTATACATTAAAACTAATTAGAAGGACAGAAATGGAGAAAATCTATAACACTAATCACTATCCACTACTTGATAACTCTTTGTACTCTCTAAAAATAAGAGACTTTAAATTACTTTTGACAATAAATTTCTAAAAACAAGAGACTTTAATTATTAAGGTGTTAAAAATAATTTTTGATGTACAAATTTACTATGTAATATATGCATCGGGGGCACCGGCAAATTAGTTGTTGAGGGTGATACATGCAAGTGAATAAATTAACGAAGGCGGTTATCTAAATTTTACTGTTTGAAAAAAAAATTCAATACAATCATTTGTCTCTTTCTATATTCTATTTTCCCTCTATTATCGGTCAATCCATCTATGATCTAGTCACCCAAACCCTCCCACTATTTTTTCATCTTAAGAAAGAGAATAAATTAATTAAAAATTATATTTGCAGGGTATTTTTTTTCTGCATGTATGAATTGACTTTAGGCTAAATGGCACTTAAATATCCTATTGATTCATCACCTTTACATTTAAATGTTCTAAATTATAAAATATATAATATTTAAACATTCCAAGTTGTTCCAATTCTGACACATTAATATTCTCATGCGATTATCCCATGCTGTATGCAGAATTACTCTGATCCTATTTTTTGTTATAATTACTACTTTACATACCATCTCAATTTTTCTCTTTCTTTTTTTCCAAATTTCCTCATTTTTCTTCTCCGATTTCTTTGCAATCAATCATGCAAGTTTTCTCTGGTTCTTCTAGTTACCATGCTTCTCAAGAGAAAAAAAACTAGGGCGCTGTTGATTGGGGAGAAAATGTTAAATGCTAAATTTGGGAGGTTATTTAAGGACTAAATATCAAAACACCCCTCTAACTTTGGAGATTATTAGAGCATCTCCAACAGCTTCCCTAAAATTTTCTCCAAAATGGAGAAACAAAAGTCATATTCTCCAAATTATTTTTGCTCTAACTCCAACAGCTTCCCCATTTTGAAAAATCGCATTTATTACAATAATAAAGCTCTCTCCAAAAATTTGGGGAATGCTGCAGATTTGGGGAAGGCTCCCTATTTTTTCTCCTCCTTCCCTATTTTGGAGAATGGGATGGGGAATCTGTTGGACAAAAAAAAAGCTCTATATTCTCCAAATTTGAGTATTTTAAGAAGATGGGGAAGCTGTTGGAGATGCTCTTAGATACCCTCGTAACTTTCAAAATATCAAAAAAAAAAGACCCTTTAGGTTTAAGGATTATCAGAAAGCTCCTTTTAACTTTTAATATTTTATTAAAAAACTCCGTTTAACTTTAGGATTTTATCAGAAAAATTCACTTAGAATCTTCGCTTTTAGGAGAGTTCCTTAACAAATTCTCAAAGTTAAAGGGGGTATTCTAATAACCCCCAACTTTTAAGGTTTTTTTTTTGATTTTTTCAATATGTGGTTCTCTCTTCTGCTTTTCTTATATCTAACCTTGTTTAATTGTTGAACGGGTTAAGTTATAAAGGGGATTTTCGCTAAGGTACTTTTTTTTTACTTTGTCTAAAACATTCTAGCGGTTGATAATTTAGGATATTTAAATGCTCTTTTTTATGGCTTAGGACTAGGGGTGTGCAACGGTCGGTTCGGTTCGGTTTTTACCAAAATTTGAACAGCCGAATCGAACCGTCTATAATTCAAAACCGAACCGAACTGTTGCAAGTCGGTTCGGTACGGTTCGGTTCGGTTTGTTCGGTTCTAACTTCATCAAATTTCTTATCAAACAAAAAATTGTGTTAAAGAAAAAAAAGATATCAACAAAGTAGGATATTATGAAGCATTAAACACTGATATAATGATATTGTTTTTAACCTATAATGATTCAGAAAATGAGTTTAGGGTTTGAGTCTTTGACTCTTTGGGGACGGGTCGGGTAGGATTTAAGATCAGAATGTGTAGTATTTGATGCGAGTAGTGAGACGATTGAGGCTACTCATGGTTCGTTGGGCCATAATCTTATGTTGGCAGAAGGTAATAAACATGACAATAAACAATTCACTAAATAGGGTAAATAATCACCCTTATTGACCAAATAAAGTGGAACTAAATTGTTTTGTAGAAGCCCTGCACTCAGACGAATCCAAAGCATGTGACCAAACTTACGACACGGGCATTCGAACTCGACAACCCT